TTTGCTGTATATTCTCTGCGTGTCTTTCAAGGCATATTCAAAGAGATTTATTCTTCAGTCAGGTCTTGAAAATGATAGAAGTAACATCAAATGTTTTGAGAGTTTAGGACAGACTTCTGACAGTGTCCCAGCTCGGCTTAGCCCTGGATGTCTGTGTTCCTGTTGTCTTGCAGGCACAGATTAATGCTGAAATAGTCTCACAGCCTTGGACTGGGTAATGATTCCTCTTGTGTAACAGAGGGAGGGAAAATGAGGTGGGAAMGACTTTAGACTTGGCTGAGTGTGTGGGATTCAGCTTTGGGGAGCTGTAGTACCAGGGCTCATCCTTTTCAGAACGCATTTCAGTTATATCTGAGGTCTGGGGTGGTCTGAATCCATATAAAATAGGATTTTTGGGGAAGACTGGTCTGATCTGTGTATGAGTGCTGCACATTTGGTATGGTGTCAGTATTTCCTGCTTGAGATTAATCACTGCATCTTAATGGAATGGATGTACAACCTACTATATTCAAAAAGGCAAATGGTGTACAGTATTAAAGACCTAGAAGGTGCACTAAAATGATGGCATGTAATAATAAGATTTACCTTGCGTGAACAAAAAGGGAAGTGACTATTTGAAGCTGCTCCTTCTTCATTAACTTGGAAACTAATTTTGGTCTTTCTTGAACTTGTATAAATGTTGTGTTTCAGTCACTACCTGCAGTAATATCATTCTGCCACCGTTAGCATTAAATACTTCAGCAGGACTGATCTATTTAATATTTTTTCAATCAGTATTTTGAAAATCTGTCATTTCAGAGTATCTTCTTTCTCGGTAATAAATCAACCTGGTTGCTTTAACCCCTTCATTGCAAATGTCTGAGGTTACCGATCACCTTTTTTCTGTTTTGTTGAAATGTCATCCTTCTTTAGATCAGAAATGAAAACAAGTAATTTTTTGTTTGCTCTCAATAGCTGTATCAATACGATTTTTTTTAATTTTTAATTTCATGCAGATTATTTAAAATATAATCCCTCTTTTACCKTCTCTGAGAGTAGGTTTTTTCCAGAAAGTTGGGGGGAAAAAAGGAAAAATTTAGTGATTGAAGGCCCAGTTTGGCACAGCAGAAGTATTGAGTTTCTTTGGGGGTTTTGCAACTGTGTAGGCCTATTGCAAAAGTTTTGTTATGCGAGGCAAAACCTGAAGGAGAACTGTAACTCTGTRGTTTGGTTTCTGCTGTTCTCTTTGTCTGTTACAAGAGAAAGGAGTAGCTCCAGTGCCTTGCTGTACCAGGGGCTGCTCTGGAGGGGGGACCAGCAGATCCCAGGGCTCACCTCTTACCTGCCAGCCTCCATGGGAAGCAGCTTCATCATCTGGCATAACTTCCCTCTCAAGGGAACAGCTGCCAAGAACACTTTCACTCTTAAATGAATCCTATTTTGAGAGTACAAGACTGTCTACTCAGTGTTTTTGTTTACATCCACAGAACTAGAGTTAAGATGTCTTGCATCAAACTAAAGGGGTGAAATATTTTACAGGGACACTACTGAGTTCAGCAAATTGTAATCATTGCTTGTTAAACTTTTTAATTTTTTGTAAAGGAAGGTGCGGGCATGTTTTGTTCTATAGATTTTTTTGCAACAAACTGGGCATGGGGAGAGCAGGAACAGAGAAGTTTCTTTATCRTTATGACAAGCTAGCAAATCCTGTTTTCATGTGGGTTGGTAAATTTTTATGAATAATTGGCCAAGTTAATTTAAATATGCATTTTAGCAGTGTTGGTTTGGTTTTGTTTTGTTTTCCACACCACTAATTCTCAGGCTTCYAGGACAGGTCATGTTTTTGCAGGTCATGTCATATAGTTCATCCTTGAAATAAAACCATATTGGGAAGGGGTTTCACTGTTTTAAAAKAACATAATTTAGTCCAGTACCTTTGTTCCAAAAGTACGTTATCAATGAGYCCTCATTGCTGTTGAAATGATGTTGTTTGTCAGTTGCATTCCTTGATTTCACTGTGTACCTGAATGGGAAGGGAGGAGCTTCATATTTCTAAGGATGCTTGATTGGTGTCTTCAAAATCTGCTTGTTTTTCTGTGCCAGTCATGATYAGTCTGGTTTTGAATTTGTGGACTCAGTTTTGCAAGTTTTATGTTTGTCCGTCACCCATCTGTTGTCTTTCTTCCCTGCYGTGAGTGACTAGTGTTGAGGCTGGTAGGTTGATTCATGTGGTTGCTCTGTGTGTTGAAACTCCCTGCTGATAAGTGGAAAAACTGTGGCTGGAAMCTTACCTAATCTTTGTTAAGAATTCTGGCCTTTACAATTGAGAAAAGTTTGTTAATAAGGCAAAAAAAAAAAATGACTTGGTGCTGTTACTTGTATGTGGTGACAAAGAAACATCTGCTTGAAGAGCTTACAGTGACCCRATTTAAATGGTCTGAACAGCACTAAAACCAGTTCTACAGTATCAGGATTTTTTTTTCTTTTTCATTTTGAAAGAATCAAAGATAAATGTCTAGCACATTAAGGAGATGAGCTGTAATAAAGCATATATGGATGATATGGCAGCAGTCCAAGAGCATTAGTATGCATGCCGTGATGGAGTTGTGGTGGCAGCKAGCAGTCACTCTCAACTTAGAGCTAAATGTTACACATGGAGCACAGAGAGCCTTCCTCTGTGAGCTGGGCTTGTTTAGGAAGAAACTTACCCCGGTTCAAGACATTCCTTGCCTGGATTGGTGTGAAACCTGTTGGTTTGGCCAACTAGTGTCCAACTTCTCCAGGGAGCTGCGTTGGTGGCAAGGGTCTGGGCTGCAGATGACGGTGTGTGTAGAGGATGACTGCAGTAGTGTGTGTACAAGTGTTGTAACAGAAACATGGGCAACACAACCGTGCTGATGCAGGCCTGGTAGTTCGAGCAGACAGGGAGCAAAATTCATATTGATTAACAGGCATATGGAGTTACATGAGCACCATCACTTCATGTGGTCATTTCCGCCCCTTTTTTTTGATAGAGCAGAGGCTGCAGGGTCTTATGAAACATAGCAGTGGGAAATCAGATGTGAGGGTAATTCCCTGAGCCCTTGCCTGCTTCCTTCCTATATCTAATTAGCCATTGGGGAGGACAGCAAGAAGCGGGCAGCTGGCCAGATGAATTGTTGCAGTGGATTGGATCTGGCCAGCAGGCTGCAGCTCAGGCATTCTGGTTTGCATGGCAAAAAAAAAAAGGGTTTATATGAATTTCTGACTTGAGCTTGCGTTGTAACACGTGTATGTTAGATGCTGATGGTTGTTATGTTGAAAGCCCAGGTTCTTCCTTGTGTTCTTAAGTAGCAGGCTTTTGGAAGATCTTAGAAGTTTCTTTTCCATGATTATCTATTTATGCCCTTTGCTTAGGGCAGGAGTAATCTTTACTGCTTCTCTGCATTATTACATGCTTCTTGCAAGTGGTCAGGCTTTTACTTTATTATCCTTTGGAGACTCTTTCACAGAGAAATGAACCTGGATGTCAGGTGGTAGTGAGCATGAAKATTCCAGAGCCAAATTGCACCTGCTGTGGAAAGCTTAATACATGAGAAGAGAATTAAGGGAAGGAAATTTATTCCATGAGGTTCTGCCCATGTACATTTATTTTCTGTTCTCTACATTCTCCAATTGTCAGTGAAACTGATGAGAGGAGAAGGTTGCCTCATGAACACTGGAGATCCTTTGGGTGATGTTGGGGTGCACAACACAGAGCCATCTGTGTAGACGAGCTCTATGTACAGTCATTGGAAARTACTACAGTGTTTAGTTTGCTCTTGTGAGCAAATAAACAGGGTCCTTTTATTCTTTTCTGTGGACAATACTTCGTTGTTGATGCTTTGTTTGATGYTTGTCAATACTAACACATAAACATAGCAAGAAGGAAAGGTTTAGAGTTTTGTGTCAATTCTCTCCCTATTATGGCTGATCCATTAACCACAGAAAGTTGAAACAACCTGTAGGAAGACATCTGGTATTTATCTGTACAACTATTTTATAAATTATGTAAGTTATCTTTAGAGTAGTAACATTCCATCTTTTTCTTTCTGAAATTAGTACTCAGTTTGCCTTCTCCCAATGCTGCATTTCTGTTTATCCGAGGTTTCTCAATAGTGGTTCACCTGTGCAGCAGGAAAGATGAAACGATGGAATAATGTTGTTTTTTTATGATTATGTACATTATGGACATTCCTAATAACTCAACCCATTTTTGTGATGTTAATGTAAGTTTGGAAAGCTGACAAATTAAGTTGTTTTTGTTTGAGGTAAATAGTTGTTCTCACAGTATTTTAATTTGGCAAATCTGTGTTTTTATGTAGATTTAAACCTCTTGAAGAATGCCTTTTATGTCTATGTTTGGCACAGACATACTGTTAGTCATCCGTAAATGAAAATAATTGAAAAGTGAGAGGGGTTTTGTAAATGTTTTGAAATCTTTGGGTGCATTAAAAAAAGTTGTGAAAGCTTCATATTTCTGATTCTTTAMATTAGCCAGCCTGGGGTTGTTGGTGGTAACAATTGTGCTATTGGCAAAATACTAAGAATTAGACAGACTTGAATGGACCATTTCACACCTTGAGAAACTGGACTTACGTTTTGTGGTATGCGCTAAATAGAAACCTAATGCATCTTCTGAAAAAGCAGAACAAGTTTAATRTGCTCCGTT